TGTAGTAAGAGAGAGAAAAGAAAATAAAAGGAATAAAAGAGGGGTAATTCATAATGCTTACAGAATGACTTGAATGTTTGCATTTTATGCGAGACTTTACTTGCACGATAGCTGTTTTTACGAGCCTGTAGCTTGAAAAGTGGCAGTTTCAATGTTTTTACGTATGTGGGAACAGGAATTTTGGACTTTTTGTATCTTGCACAAATCTAGACTATCCAAACAGGTGAACAGTAGGTGAACTGTGAAAGGATGAGAGTCTTGCATAAATTGGTTGAGTATTTAGGTATGCTCGGTGATGAGGGTAAATCAATCTTAAGTTCGCGTAAGCTCTCTGGATATATAATGAAACTTGCTTTTTGAACTAAGCTAGGAGAGTAATTGAAAAAAAAACATAAGTCAGATGTAGAGCTAACAAGTAAAAACATTGTTCAGGTGTATTACAAAAAAACATAAATCAGCAGTAATACAGTAGTAGTAATAAGCTCACATGGAAATACCTTTGGCATAATAACTTGGCACCAAACATAAGAACCTGCATTTTATTAGGATTGAGTTGCAGTTCGTATTTCACAGAATCATCATTTTGAAGTTCAGTATTTATGTCAGCAACAGCTTCATTCAGCAATTCTGGTTTAAACGAAACATAAAGTTGGGTGTCATCAGCGTAAGCATGATACTTACAGAGATTGATCTTAGTCAGTATATTTGAGGTATATAAACAAAAAAGCAAAGGCCCAAGTATAGATCCTTGCGGAACATCGCGCATAAATCTCACCGATTCAGATACTTCGCCTTCGAGTTTCACCATTTGATGTATATTTGTGAAGTATTCTTGCATCATCTCAACGGCTGTTTTAGAGAAGCCAATATAATTGAGCATGGATATAAGTATTTCTGGATTCAATGAGTCGAGTAATATGAGTAATAATCAGTCGATTTCCCTTTCTAGAAGGCCGGTAGACCAACCTTCTAAAAATGCTTGACAAGAACTTAAAATGTTTTTGTCTTGTCACATATTTCCAACGGTAAATCCTTCGTTAAGACAAGTTTCGTCCAGATAATAAATCTCTCACGTCGAAACTCTCTTTTCTGCCTTAGGTAATGTCTTCACCGGCAAATAATTTCCATCATTTTCGATTGGAATCGATTTTCTGTTGTTTTTTCCAGCTGAAATTAAATTTCTTTTGAGTTTTCCACATTTTCTTTCTGCCTATCACTGAAAACATACTGGTTTTCTTTCAAAAATTCTATATTTTGCGCGGGTCGGTATTTCTTTCTTAAAATTAAATTGATGTACTGTTTTTATAATTGTAAGTGTGTAGATTTCATCAACAGGCACAGTTTTTCTTCTAGAAGAAGGTTTTGGTGGTTTCACAGCTTAATTTGTTTCTCATTAAATTTTCCACCAAAGTATCAACGGTATACGAATGATTTTGGTGCATGAGAGCGTCATATACATGATGGATAATGCTCTTTCCGTTGAAAGAGAATGCGCATTTGCTCATTAGTTTTACTGGAGAGAAAACTGCGGTAGCCATTTTGATTCACATACTAAACATAATTTACTGATAACAACATCGATTGAGATACAAGGGCTTTATTAATAATTCATATTCTTCGGGTAATAGTGCTCCTAATTGAAGCAGAAATTGAAAATATTTGAAGTATGCCTGATTTACTCAGGTACGCTGTATATGAATATTTGATAATAAGAAGTACTTTTCATGTTGCATATAAGTGTTGGAAATGTTAATCGTAATTGAAGGGCAAAAATTATGTTTTAATTATCAATGCGAGTGTTCCATATTTTTATTACTCACCGTAAACATACAGTTATAAAAAGTATTTTGAGATTTGTTATATCAAATCATTAAGCCACATTGAATGTTTGAAATGAATACTATATTTTACACTTATTCACCGACTCAATTATGTACGCCTATGGAACAGCTATTGTAGCGAAACACGTGTTGCGGTTTTGTAAACTGTGAAAATCTCACAATAAAGTTTTACTTGAATAAGTTATCAATTTTCATCGAGTATCGCCCAATTACACCACACATAAATATATATTTATTAGTTTTTACAAGTATTTTTGATCAAATACCCAAACGCACATAACTGCTGGTGAAAAACGACGCTCATAAAATATTTTGTTTACGATACAAAAATAGGGTAGACCTGGTAAAGTATTATAAACTCATTTACATTATAAACAGTAGGTATATTATGATATCAATTGCAAGTTTCCCACATTTTTTGTATGAAGATGGATAAATAGAAAGCCAAAACCTTTCTTTCCTAAAAATTTAACATTTCTAAAAAATGTACCCCTTTCAATTTACACAAATTTTTTTAGAACACTATGTTGACATTTTGCATTTATAATGAGCATTCATCACATTTTACTATTAGGAAACACAGTATAGGTATTACAATTCAACTTGACACCGTTGCCGTTGGCTAATATAATTTAGGTCGCATTCGAATACACCAGTTTGATCAAAGTGATTTTTCAAATTTTCAGGAATAAGTATAAAATTCGAAGAACTTTTTATGTCCTATCTGTCTAGCTATGGATGATTGTATAAATAGGTTGACATATAAAAAGTATGTGTACCTACTCGGAAAACTGGGGCAGGCATGGTGTGTTTCGAGTTTGGCACTTGGGAATATGGGAATAAAGTGCACTTATGGACTAAGCCGATCATTTCATTTATCTACTCATTCCTACAATTTATTACATATTTATTCAAAATCCTTTACTGATTACCATCGACTTTGACAATACTCTAAAAAAGCTCCAGCTAATAGAAACCAGTCGGCAATTATGTTAATTTTCAATTCTGGCTGTCACACGAAACAGGTGTAAGTTGAGAAGACGAAGAACGATGATCGATGTATGTGCTGGCTTCGAAGATGCGCGGTTACGACATATTTCAGCGGATGGACAACATAAACGAATGTCTTTACCCGTCTCAGACTTTTCTGAATAGAAGTGAGAACGTATTGAACGTAGTAGTAAATGGTTTATTCTTCTTGTGGTAGGTATGTGCTGGAGCAAAAAGGTTGAGTAGGTTATATGTAGCTAATCATTTTAAGTATCTACTTTTATATACTAATAGGTGTATACTTAGTGGCTTGGCAATTGCCATTTTTGATTTAAATGAATGCAATAAATGGTACTGATAGATCACAACAAGTTATTTTCATCCCACTAATTTCCATAACACTAATATTCCATAAATAGGACCTGTTTCTCTGTGAGTCGTTGACAATGTCTTTTAATTTTCAGATAGTTTGAGAGTTAACATTGTTCATTGAAAAGTTCCGACGGTTTGCAAAGTGCTGACGGATAAATTAAGTTGACCAAAATTCGTAATTCAGAGCTCTCATTATTATTGAATTTCAAAAATGAAATCAGTTGTTCATTAAAAAATTAGGTTGCCTGGAGCAGCAGCCACGTCGATTCGTTTTGATTACTTTGTGTTAGTTTGTGGTCTTTGTACAAATTGATGACGTATGCATGCGCATTCTTTCGAAGACCCAACGTACCCATTCATCTTTCAGTTATTCACTCTGTCTTAAGCACTTGAATCAATATGAATTTCATCCATCACTGATTACTTCAAACAAGACAACCAAGCACAATAAAAGTCATTTGTTTTTTACTCGAAAGTGAAATAGTTTCCACTGATATGTGAATTATGAACAGTGATACTAACCTTAAAATGAAAACGTACGAAGGTAAAATAGTTTTAATTTTGATTTGTCGAGTTGAAAATAAAATACAATAAATTTGTTGCCTACATAATTTGACAAAGAAGTGATGACATCAATTTTCAAATTTTAGCAATTTTTAGTTTAGCAAATTATTTGATATGTGTCGCATTAGAACTAGCTTTGTTCTTGTTTCTATGATTATGATTCTGTGCAGTGTTCAACGAAAAGCGTTTAATCTCTATTACATTGATCAGCCGGTTTTCTTCAGAAGTAGGTACGTACTTTATTCTCTTTTTCATCTCGCGATTTCCTCTATGTACGAATTGAAGAGTGTATATGTCGCATGTTTGTTTTTCAGATATCAGAATGTAATTTACCTAAANTTCAAAAGGTTTCATAAATAGTAATGATTTTTACCCGAACTCCTTTACATACTTCTATAATATTATTATATATATTCTTCAAATATAATGTAATGTGCATTTTTGACACATTTCAACAAGTTACCTACTTTTTCCGAGAAATATGAGACTGAACCAACATACATACATACAAAGTGCATACCTTCTTTTGATTACTGTGGAATGAAATTCTATATAAAACCTGGGTATAACTTACACCTGGACCAATAATGAGGGATAACAGCATGTGTCAACTTGGGACCAATAAAAAAGTCTTTTCTTACCTGCCTTTCCTTATTGAAGGCTTTTTGCTCTTGTGTAACAATGTGTCTGTAATCTCCACAGAGAGACAGCAGGTCTGCCATTTGTTTAGTGATCTCTCAGTGGAAGATAAACATTTTTTTTTATTTATGGCATGTGAAACTGAGATTTGTAAAAATATTCAAGCATTTTACCCACTCAGAAGGGAAGTCACAACAAAGTGCCAATTAAGCAAAAGATTTTCTATGAGCAGCTATAATTGAGACAGAATTATTTGGGTATTTTAAATGTGATTAAAAAACCGAATTATGATTATTCTTTTCAATTATGTGATATAATCAAAGTTGTAATATGGAAAAATGAATTCAATCCTATTTGATCATATTTTCAACTTACCTTTTCATCTCAATCCATTATATAGCTTTTGGAACTTCATACTGGTGAGGCACAGATACTCTATGTTGAATAAAAACAATCCATTATGTTTCGAGGGATTCTTTTGAATATACCTCTCTGCATGAATATTACACACAGGATGTGAAAATTAATTTTGAGAGTTCAGCAGTCAGCAACAAATGCTTAAAGTGAATTCTCTATTATATAACACTTTTTAACGTTGCCATCAGTTTTAATTTGGGATAGAGATATCACTGGACCTTAATTATTAAATAGTTTGTAAATTAATACCCATGGCAAGGTGATGTAAAAAGTTCAATAAATACTGACAATAGCCTACTTAAGTACATTGGTGACTTAGTTGATTCAGCTTCAATCACAATCTACCATATTTCATCATAATACATTCGTTATACTACTTGACGAGATACAGCTCTGCTACCCTCAAGAGTTAGGCTCTGAACAATGTCAAAATCTTTGGTTTCTTGCCAGATACCTTCACCACTGGTAAAAACCATACATAAAGGAAATGAATGGTACAACGAAAGAGATATTATTCTAACATATTTACAATATAAACAGAAACAAGTATTTTACCACTGGAGACAATGATCTGGTTGTTTGCATTCCTCAGAGCAGAGTCGTGAGAGTAGCACAGCTTCTTGGACACGAGGCACTAGCTCGAATATTTAGTTCACATGCAAACATAATTTAATTTGTCAATACCACCCTCAGTGTGGGGAAATAATAAATAACTGTACAGCGGTCCGAGACTGCTGATGGTATTGCCATCACATACACACTTCAGTCATTCATTTTACATCAACTACACCTCCGTTGCAAAAAGTCCAGACGAGATTGTGTCAGGATTGTGGAAGTGTTCTTCTATCACATAAACGCCATTTGACTCCTTCTCAATCGGCCTCTTCAACATGGAGGGATCACTGCAACAAATGATATAGATTAATAATCAGTAATCAAAAGGCGATAGAAAGTCTAGTGGAGAGAAAAGGGATCCTTACCTGGAGCACACAGCCGAAGCGTTTGACATCACAGACAAACGTTTGATGTGTTCATAATCAGGTTCATGCAGTTTTGCAGCAAAAGATACTGGCATGCGAGCTCCTGTCTCAGTGTTGAGCTGCTTCTGAGAACGCGTCCTCTGCAAGGTGTAAACAGGACGCCCGTCAATCACCTGGTGCTGTGGTTTCGGGAACCCATCACAGTCATTGATGCTAATGTTTGAAACACTGCAGTCATCTGGGGAGAAGTTCGAGCTGATTACATTGTTAGTGCATTTGCCCCAAGAGTTTTTGATCATGTGAGGATCGGTTGATATAGCAACACCACGCTTTGTGAAACTACTATTTGCCGTGTTCTGTTCGTTCTGCAGCCTGGCCTCTTCGTCAGCACGAGCTTTTTCGCGTTTGCGTCTCTGCTTCAGGCAAATGATCACACCAACTGCTACCAGCACCACGAGCGGCACGAAAGTGGAGATGGTGGCGATGACCACAACGTGTTCAGTGGTAAGATTCGACTCGGATGACACCCTCGCGCTAGGCGCAGCGCTGGAGGACACCTCGTCACATTCGCGGCCCAAGAAACCGACTGGACATAGGCATTCATAGCCGTGGACGCTGTTCACACACGTCCCGCCATGTTGACAGGGGTTTATCAGACATTCGTCAATTTCCTCGCTACAGTCTTTACCCGTGAAACCAGAAGCACACTTACACTTATAGTCATTGATTAGTTGCAGGCAACTTCCGCCGTTGGCGCAGGGCTTAGTCAAACAATAGTCTACGCGGTTTTGGCAAAGGGGTCCCACATAGCCCGGGACACAATGGCAGCGGAATTCGTTCACTCTGTCTATACACGTTCCTCCGTTTTGGCAAGGCGTACCTTCGCAGTCGTCAATGTTGATTTCGCACAGATCGCCGGAAAACCCAGAAGGGCAGATACACTGGAACCCGTCGCCGGTTTCAGCACAGGAGGCATTATTTTTGCACGGATTTGGCGAGCATTTGTCCAGTTGGTAATCGCAGTTTATTCCACTATATCCAGGTTTGCATGCACATTGGTAGCCCCCATCGGTGTTAGTGCATGTCCCTCCGTTTTTGCAAGGTTGTTTGCTGCACGAGTTGGATATTGTTTCGCATTGAAGGCCACTGTACCCAGTTGGACAAGTGCAGATATTGTAAGCGCCTTTGGGGGTACATACCCCGCCGTTCAAGCATGGATTCTCCGAGCAGTCGTCTGCAGGAATTTCGCAGTCCGTGCCATTGAAACCAGCGGGACAACTGCAAGTGTAACTACCTTGTCCCGTGTTGAAACATGTCCCGCCATTACGGCACGGCTTGTGATTCGTGCAAAAGTTTAGATCCTGGTTGCAAAAAAGCCCGCCCCAGCCCTCGTTACAAAGGCAGTCCCAAGGCTTGACGCAAGTTCCGTACATACACCCCGGGTACCTTTGGCATTGGTTACATAAAGGTCCTTCCCAGCCTGCCTGGCATCTATAACAAAAAAAAAACAAACGTAACGTCGAGCTGACAAAAATTATTTGAAACGGTCAACGACAGAGCCACTAACGAGGTAAATACAACATAATCAATGAACTCTCGATTTACGTTCAATGAGAACGGAGCAACACAAATAGAATTGTAATGAGATTGAATAAAGATGATTTTACCTGTCTCGGAATCGTTCCGAACATGTTCAATTACAAGGTTGACTGAGTTGGCCGTAATTGTTAATTAGAGTTTGGCGATAATTACTTAACGTTATGAAAAATAAAAACGTTTCCGTGAGAGACAAATACGAACAGTACCACCGCGGCGAGCTCAGGTACATCCGATATGCCGTGTATTTCTTATTCTAATCATGTGCTTAAAAGAGAGTGTATTCGGATCGTATCGAAGAGCTCATTGAGTTGCAGCTTGGATAGCAGACCGGGCCGAGCGGGGACATCTAGAGGGGATGCATCACGCCCACAGAGCTCTTTCCCACGCTGCCCGTTGGCAAGTATGCAGGTCAAGGAAAGGTTACATGCGGGTCAGCGGCCCAATCTGCATAGTCGGACTGCACATAGCTTCTTCCGCTAGTAACTGAAACTGCCAATATCTAATAGCAAACCTTGAGCCAGCCCTAATAACCAACTAATTTGAATAAACTTCTGGAAAATTATAGGGTTGCCGGTCCCAATCAATACGAATTGAATGGTCAGGAATTGGAAAATCACACATCCTCTCTCGACAGACTCGAACAATCGCAAGGGATTTTAATGGCGGCTCATAAAATAACTCTTTGTTTTTAACCATTCTATTAATCTCAAAATACAGCGAGAGTGTGATTAATGAACCACAAGATTATATATAAACTATTATGAGTTGAGGTATGTCAAAACTTCATCACAATCATAAACACAGTTTTGAGGATGAAAATATGTCATTCCGAAATCATTTCTCTAGAGAATCAACAGTTGAAAATAAGCCTTCTGAATATGACCCGGAACACTAAATAGATCTCACATTAGATATAATGTAAAATCTCGAAGGTTAGCACAACAAAAACGAATTGCCAAAAAAAAATAAAAAGCTTCCACAGTTTATTGCCTTCTTCAAAATACATTAATATTTCATATATAACGGGAGACGCTTCAAAGTTAAGTGTTCACTTTCATTTTTTAACGAATTACACCTAATATCATTCGTTCTCAATTTTCTCCCAGACGCTCCCAAAACGATTACCATAATCATTAGATAATGTCGATCCAAAATCTCAATTTTAGCATATGCCAAATTACCATAATGAGGAACATCCGAAGTAATCAGATGAGCCGTGATTTTGTGAATGTTCAATTTAATGAGAGAGGGTTTATAATATTCCTTTAATTATACAGAAAGAGAACATTTAATTTCCCGTCTGTTTTGAACAGTATACCCAAGCTCGTGACAATGGAAATTGTGAATGTATTAATGAGTTTTGGTTCAATACAAATACAAATTTTGTACTCAACAATAACTCCATCAGGCTGGATGCCATTGTTTGTTTTACTTTACTAACATAACAACTGCTTCAATATCTGACTATATTTTGAATTTTAATGAACTTGGCTCCGTTAATAAATGTATCAGGAGAGAATAAATCAAGTCAAATAACTATACAACAAAATAATAGATGGCCAACAATAATTCTATATTGCAATTAATAGCTGCCTTTGTTCATTTCTTTCAACCTGAGAAGCAAAAGCTTTCTCTCTGGTCGACTTACTAAACCGTATCGTCAGATTCACGTTAAGTGGGAACGACCATACCGAATGATTATTTTTATTATTGCAGAAATATTTAAATAGCACTCCTTTCTCAAACAATTGATTCCCAAGATTAATAATCATTCTAGAGTACTTTCCTTCTGCCGCTCGTTTACACACCTAAAACATTCTTTAGGCTCCGATGTATCTGTTTTATAATAGCGAGTCTACCGTTGACATTTTCAATACAGAAAAGTTTCGCGCTAAGTAATTATATAACTCACCTGCATTCGTTGGGCTCTGTACAGTGTCCATGTGCTTCGTCACAACCAGGCAAACATTGCGCTGAAACAAGTGAAAATCGGTAATTAAAATGTTTTTGTTCCTTCAAAAAATGTAACTTTTGAATATGAACTATTCTGCCAGTTATCATTACACTAAGAGGACAAAATTAAAAGGGTTCTATAATTCTACGTATATTTGTTGATGTAATATGAACATCATCTTTAAATAATCAAATAATTGATATTTCACTTCTTAAAATTTTTAATTGACTATTATGTAAAAATGTTAAGAGTTGTATGTCGCTGTGCCTATAACATTCACTGGGTTTATGGTTATATATTTCGAAACAATGTGATGACATTATTGGTATGAATTTTTTTCCTGGAAATGACGTATGAATATTGCTTTCTTATTGGTCGTTGATTTTGCCTTTTTAAAATGTTAACGAAACTGGCAGCCAAACTGCATTTGGTCAAGATACCAAATTATGAATAAGTTAGTTTCGAATTTAGAACGAAAATCTGTACTCCATACAACTTTCGCTTGTCGAAAATGTTATTAAGACGTTCATGTTTACATAAACACTTCTACATTTGCACGTTATAGTTTTTATAGCAAAAAGCACAAAAACCAGTTACTCTCCATAAAATGTTTTTTTATATAGGCACACTATAGCATATTATCATTATGAAAACAAATATAAACAAAAATATAAACAAATATAACAAATAAAACAAATATAACAAGTTATCTTGTTTTGGTTCATTGAAACTGTAATTCTGAAATGATAACGGAAATCTAGCATCAGCCAAATGCAAATCATTTTCAAAACAGCAACATTATTGTGAATAAAACATTGGAACAAAGTTTATTATCATATATTCAGATCCTACATTAGTGCGTGCGACAAATCTAATGTAACTGAAAATCTGCATTGAGATTATAACTTAGCTGTATAACTGATGAACTGACTTATCGGCTTCGTATCAACATTAAACGAGGCTCATTGTCTCGTGCTAGGGATCGCACGTTGAAAGGTAAGACCTCGGTAAGGTAAGAATCTTTATTGCACAAGTTTCGACTTCTGAGAGTTGTCGTTCGAAAGAAGGCGACAGCTGGTTAACGAAAAAACAGACAGATTCTTTTTATTGCCGCACACACTGTGTTAAGAAAATTACTGTTACCGACATTATTGTGATACGCTGTTATTATTGTTCACCTTTCTATTAAATAAATAAAATTCTCGAAAGTAATTGAAAATGAACGAATCTGTTGTATCGAATCGACAAATACTTTTTATGTGTGTAAGCGAGTCTTATAAGTTACAATTATTTCTTATTGGTCAGATAATTACGAAACGAACCCTGTACACAGACAGGCATGCCGTGATCGTGGGAAGCTCTCTGGCTGTGCAGTCGACAGCAGCTGAGCTCAGAGAGGCGCTCACGTCTTGTTTCTCGCGGTCATTACTTTTGCTTCTTTTGTGGACAAAATTCGGCATTTTTTATTCCAGACTCAATCTATATTTATACAAGTAAAACACATGTTCATTCAACTGTTACCGTGGTTATTTTGGTTTGTTGAGATTGTTTCCATGCCCATGACGAAAATCGACCGGCTCTAGAATCTACAATCCAGTAATTTGGACGTGTCTCGTTATTAACAGAACGAGATACGTACGAGAACCTACCACAACGTATTCTAAATTAGACGCTAAAGGCGAAAACTATAAACTCATCTAGAGTGGGCGTCGACAAGATAAACTATCAACACCAACAGGTTCGGTTATGACTAGTCAGTATCTACTTCGATCATCTATATTCTCATAATTCTCCTTCTCCAATTAATGAATTGCACACAGAATAGTTCTTTGTTCGCGCAATGAATACTGAGTAGATTCCTACGTGTTTATACGACAGTGTTCCATGGGAACTGTTCAAAAGGAATTTTCATTTTGAATGTGAATGTGATGCAACATATTAATGACAATAATACTAACAGATAATGTCTTCCCTGAAATAATTCGGTTCCCGTGTGATTTAGATGACTGTTGAAATAACTAGGAGTGTCCCGATTTATTTTTAAATATTCGCAGCTAGTAGGTTATCTATCGGTGGATTTTCAATCTTCACAGACTATTTATGTTTTCCGCATTAGTCACAAAAAATATTTTCCTCAACATAAAATACTAATTATATATAGCCAGTCGGATTTTCATTCACTGACGGACAATTTGGTTATAAATGGATAAATATCGATATTGAGAAGGTACCCATGATTACATTCTGCGAGATTTGGGCATTATGTCCGACTAATCATATATGGCGGCCTGCTTCAGTACGATATGATTGCCTATAATCTAATACAAATTTGACCAAAATCAGATGCAAGTCTAAATTATTCAAAAAATGTCCAAATGATCTTCCATATCTCCCAAAAAGGGCTTGTTAAGGTCACAAGAAGATATCACAAGATTATACTCTTGCGGTATATTCAAAAGTGCTGGGAATTTTCTGTGAGCATAGAAAATTTGCACAAACCACCATAAGCACTAGTTTATCTCCCAATTCAATTTTGAGGCCGGATCCATCAAAGCAATTGAGTAAAAACGTTTTAAAATCTGGCATTTTATCGTATCTGTCTTGAGAAAAAAGCATCGGCATTTTTGTGAAGTTATCTGAACAATTCTCAGATAGGTGGCAGGGAATCAATCGGTAGCAAAAGTGGTCGCTTATCTATAAGTGCTGTGGCGCTATTTATATGGCATCTGGAAATAAAAAGCATTCACTTACGTTTAGTGCAGTAATCTCCTTTCCATCCAGCCAGGCAAACCCTTTCACCAGTAGGGGAGCAACTGTAATGTCCAAAATTGTCGTCTCTTGGCCGACATAAGTTTTCACAGCCCTTGCCGTAATAGTGGGAATCGCAGGTTACCCTGTATTCGAATCGAAGACTGGAGTATTTCGAACTGTGAAAATCATCGGTCCAATTCTCGCTGACGTCTAAGTATCTTTGCCTCGTCAACCTACTGACCAACACTGAAGCAAAGAAAAATACGTCAATAGAGCTAAATTGGAAAAATAAAACTTATATACAGACATAATATTTGACATACTCGTAAATGACACAGTCAATGATTGCGTTAGTAAACTTCGTGATTATATATTTTCGAACACATGATTGTTTGTTCTTCGTTAAAACTGAACCCGAAAATATTTTATTTTGAAAAACCCATCTTTCAACACTGTTGTTAAAACTTGCTCCCTAAAAAAACAAATCAAAAATATTAATAATAACCCAGTATACTCCGAAATTTGTGATTTTTTGTAGTGAAAACGTATGTACAATTTATTGAAACCATTATATGATATTGCCCACTAAATCACAAGTTCGCAATCAAGATAATTAACATAATTCCAATAGACGAAAAAGCAAAGAACTGACCGCATATTAAATTTAAATTGCACTGCCTCAAATTCGATTTCGTAAATTTATAGTTACCTTTAATAGCGCCTAATACGAAACGAGATGAGATTATGGTGGTGTTTTAATTTTCTATGGTTTTTAAAATATATATGTGTTTGAATAAAAAGGTACAAGAAGGCTGGAGGAACACACGAAATTGGAAAGTTCATTTTAACGGCAGATAGATGTCTGAGAAACATAATGCAGGTGTATTCTGAAAGCATCCGGCAACAAGGCAGCTGTATCCGGTGAAGCTGTATTACCAACTTAAGAACGCCTTCATTTTTTTACAACCTCTGCTTCGTTTTCCGATTTTTTCAAAAAACATTTCAGATGTGAAATAATAATTAAAAAAGGTTTTGGCGGAGCGAGAACTGTCAATCGGTAAAACATAAAAACAAGCATTTCTGCTGGGATGGCAGTTTTGTCAAAGATCGATAATACCGCGAATTCGAAAACGTCTGGTACGGGGTGACATACTAAAAAAATCAACATAAAATTTCAGGTTATTGTTGATGTACAAAACAAAATTATTTTCATCTTTGTCCAATAAAACAAAAACATATATTTTGATTAATATTCTAACAAACACACCCTTAGCAAACATTTTGTGTGACAATTCAGGTCCCTATCCTGTTTTTTATAATTCTTTAAAGTTTACTCAAGAGTACCTAAAATGTCTACTCAGGTGTTATGAAAATCTTGATCTTGGGCCTTATGAAAGGAAGTTGGCGTACTATTCCACAAGTTGGGAGCACCAAAACACAGGATATCCGGTATTTAAAATCGCACATAACGATTCAGGGTATAGTATTGCGTTACAAGTTGTTCGTAACCCCATACTGCTTTGGAAGCGGGTATGCAATAGATGTTTGTACCTACAGGGGTGAAATCAGAGCATATTTTTACCTGCGTTATGTGCGATTGTGACCCAAATCCACAAATTACAGACTATTCCCTTTGAGGATGAATTGAACAATGAATCGAGTGAAATAAAAAAGCTTCCTAATCGCCTGAAGAAAAAATTAACAGACAATGAAGATAAATTGAATTATGTTAACATTTGTTTTTTGTGAAAGCGAGTAGTAACTTGACGAATGATATATAGGTCATGAAATGGCGACAGAAATTAGGAACCGTTCTAAGAATGATCACTATCACAATTAGGATCCGTGACAGAGAGGTCTAGACGAATACTTTTTATGTATGTGGTCTTTGAAATATCTTGTTTGTTCTTCCGGAGATATTTTTCCAAGACTGGTTTATACTTTCATGCCTCATTAAAAAAATCATACTGAAGTATAAATGTTTTCGACTAATTGAGAGAGTTCGCACGTTATATCAAGACAAACAAAGGATGTAGTTTCATTTCTGTGTACTCCGGAAAGTATTATACACGTACTTATCCGTTTTCAATACATATAAAAAATTTAACAGCTCTTTCATTGAAATTTATTGAAACTTTTTTCTCGATCCGGTAAATATTTCCGCCAGGTAATCATGGGAATGGATTATTTTAATTTTATTAGTAGTCACTGATAAGCCAACAAACGTCAAACTTTCACCAAAGTGAAATAAAATGATAATCTTGAACTGACCAAAAAATGCGATTGAAATAGAAATAATCCGTTAATTTTATAAATCAACGCCAAGTTAAAACCTTATAACCGTTTCGGGTATAAATGAAAGTTTAAGAGTCAGTACGTGATTCTTCAAAATGAAATTCCTAGCATTTCCGTGGATGACACAAGCATTAACCGCATACCTAGCTAGGAGAGTATAGTTATGTGTTCAATAAATAACTGACAATATAGTGATAATTTTTCTGAAGCAGAACCGGTACGTATCCATGTACATACGGCAATTAAAATCCTAATATCTACTTTGTCACAGAAATAATTGCTGTCCAAGAGACAGGTTCTTCGCGGTGAGGCTGTATTTTCTCGGACGTTTCCTAACTAAACCCGGGCGATAGGTGTATTTCTTCACATTAACGAATGTCTGTTAATTAAAGAGGAACCTGTTTCAGCTGGGATATTTAATTTAGGAACCTCGCAGACTCCATTGTAAAGTGAAACTGTAAAAGATGTTTTACACTATGGCGGTTAGACCGCTTTCATCTAAGTTCTCAGAACTTAAAACAATATTTGTAATAAACTCCATTTGTGTAAAGAGACGTAGGCAGTATGTAAAAGGATTAAAAAAGACAATAAGTGTCACAAAGTTAGGGTAAGGTTATCACATTGTAATCGGTCAGGGGTTTAGGAGTCTATTTATCATTTTGTCAACTGGGTACGTCCTCGAATAGAGAGAGGGAACAGAACGGTTACACTGTTATAACACCTGGACAAAATATGTACAGGCGGGAACATTAAATTCGACTGCTACGTCGTTAAAATGGTAGAGGGGGTACCAAACAAACGTTTTATTGAAATATAAACAACAACCAGAGTATTATGAGTTTTAACGAATACACGGTTTCTGAATTGAAGGTGATTCGAAATTTTGATTTGAATGTTTTTGAATTAATTTAATGTTTTTGATCCTCACAAGAATTATTTCCACAACGTTTCGGCAAAGTCTCATTTGTCTGGAGTTTAGAGCTAGACTGTTCTAAACTAGAGACATTACCTACCAGAAGAAGGCAAATGACTTTGCCGAAACGTTGTGAAAATAATCCTTCTGAGGATCAAAAACACAGAATACGGAGCGAAACCCGGAAAAATGACTGCATATACAAGAATACCGCCTTCATGAAAATAACGGGTAAGCCAACTATTTTACAATATGGTCGTACAACGTAACTGTAGCGTGGGAAAAATAAAATTACAAAAGTGCAAGTACGCACAGCATTATATTGTTATTGATGTACCTAATTGAAGAATATAGTTGATATACGGAAAACTAGTAGAATTGTGTGAAACGAAACAGGAAAAGAAATGTACATCTTAAAATACAGTAAATAATTTCGACGTAAACTAAACTAGCTTGAGTGTTCGACTTAGTGAAAGACACTTTTGATACATGTGTTATTTATGTAAGTATCGTGCCAAGTAGTTTTAGGTATTCTCCGAAATACACACATAATCCTGTTTCGATACATCTTGAACAGAAAGGCACGTTTATATATAGAATTCAAAGATCACGTACAATTTTTTAAATTAACCTCCTAATTCACTAAGTGCCTCTAGACGAGTGTGTGTTTATACACCGTTTATTTTAAATAGATTGAGGGTATCGAGTCTTCCAACCCTAGAAGAACACTTCTGCAACTGACAACTGATGAAGAGTTGGTGAACTTAAGTTTATATAACATGAACGAAATAAATTGAGTAGTCTGCGAACGACAGCATCAGAGATTAGGTACGAAAGAAAAACGTAGTGGAAATATCAATTTAAGCGGAAGAGCGTTTTAGGTTATCAGGAAGAGGGCTGGTTTTGTTGGTAAGTTAAGAGTTGACAGCTGTTATACATGTGGCTGTTCATCTCGTGCTGAACTGCGATATATTTATATAGTAACAGAACGGTGTGTTTTCATACACCTCGGAATATCATACGAAAATTTGGACACAACTTAACCACATAATTCAATTTAATACGTTCAATAAAAAAGATTATAACATCTCAACAACCGAATTGGTGTAAAAACTGAGGGAGAAGCTATCGAAACACTGAACTATTTCATACCTCCGTATCAGAACAATTTAATTTTTCTTCAATATAATCAACATTCATCATGGATTTGTCAGTATGAATTGGCAATACCTCAAAAATGTTTACAATTGGAGCGTTCCCAATTCATAACTGACTATTATTTGTCGAAACAGAATTGGGAATTATTGAAAGCTTAATAGAACTTTCAGGGCAGATGGGCTACATAGAAATGAACAATAATAAACATATTTCATTTATGTTACATACTTTTCAACACGCCCTGTACATATTTATGCTGCAATAGGATTTCAGGAACCCAGCCAAAATCTCATCAGTTAACCGAGATACAAACTGATGAAACACTGCTCCACATTTGAATACTAAAACCATAAATGATTGAGAGTTTGATGTTTCAAAATTTGGCTGGGCGCCCAAAATTTCTTAGCAAGCCCACCTCTACATGTTCTCAATGAAGTCAATTTATATAGGTTACATGATATAATTAAGTTTTTGAATGATAAACAAAAGTACAAACCTACTATTGCATGGTGATTATTAGTTACCTGAAAACATTTGTGTAAAGTACTGCAACTTCATTGACTATGTCCATTTACTCTCGCTATACCCCTGCTTATAAACATTTTCCCACACTCGCCTCGGTCCACTCTGAGGTTCAATCCATTAATAGTCAGGTAGAAATTCTTGTTCTGTTTTTTATTATTGAATGGTATACGTCAGTATATTGATATATTGACATGCGGTTTCGAACGCAATGGTTCTATAAGATGAATTTAGAGAAGGCAATATTGTTTTTCGGAAAATCTATTTGATATTACTTCAGGGTCCACGAATTATTATATAAAGACAAAAATGGTTAATAAAAGTGTAGCTTCAAAAAACGCGCAAGGAGGCAAGATTTTTTTATTCCAAGTGAGTTGCAACTATTGTAATTAGTTATTCATACTGTCATGTGAACATTATATTCCCGGTTTCAAACGTAAACTTTTATATGATATAGATCTCACGACAACTATCAACATGTCCACCAACGATTTGTCTTTTGAATTTTATTTAATCGTCTTTGAAGAAACAATGCCATTTGAGATTAGAAAAACGGGAATTTTATAATCACGCGACGCAATTTGCAGACCTAATTGTTGGAATGTTCTTTGTGTAAGTCAAATATTATGAATGCCTTTCCCAGCGTTCATGGGTCTGGAAACTTACCGGCAGAATGTGATGTTTCATTACCGTGCCATGCCTCGACGATTAGCGAGAAGGTACCCTGTAAAAATAACAAGAAATTGTAAATTCTTTCAGTTTGAGAGAAAACAACTTTCACTGAAGATGCTGATGTTACATGCAATGATGATGTGATCACCTTTTTACGCTGTTTTATGGCTCTCTATATGCCCATCTTCAAACAAGCTCCTATTAATTGTGAATAGGATAATGTACAGGGTAGGAAAAACAACTAGTTGTTTGTTTCTGTTTGCTGGAAGAATTCTCCCAAAAATCGGAAACACTCTGGCAAGAGTTTGTTCTCAATTACTCTTCAAGATATTAATAATACATAAGCTCATTCATTTGGTCATTCCCATTTCGAGTTTCTCTCTATATATGGAGAAAGGGCTGCGTATTCCTTATATAAAACCAGACTAAGCGCCAAATAGAATACATGTGAAAACATCGGCTTGTTAGTAAAAATTCAGTAATATAAGGTATACACCAGTTGCCATAATGATAACTCGGTTTTATTGTCTCAGGCTGGAAACTAGGGCATCCAATACTCATTGATGAACTGAATTAAATGAAAACATGTCAACGTTTCGCTTCTTAATAGATACAAATGCCAACAAAAAAATTGCCACTTGTCAATGTTGTGAAATTCATTTGAAGCTCATGACACCTAAAATTCAAACTGAACTTCATGAATTGATATTTTTGATATACGAATATTTATGTAAAAATGCACTGTTGTTACATTTGTACTGAAACTATGTTGGACTTCAGGGAACAAGTCGATCAAAAATCAACTTACTTTAATACCCATCAAACTCAAATTAGTCACAGTTATTCAGTTAATCGTTGTTCATACAAGAATGAAAGTAGACTACAAGAAAAAAGTGATCTCTCCAATTCCCCTCAACAATTTGGCCGACAATCAAATGCATTTATCAACGTTCTAGTGCCAATTCTGAAGACTTGCATTCTATGACATCTATGAGACAGAAGCTGAGCCTCGCAATAACCCTGAATCGAATTTATATTTACCCCACTTGACCCTAACTTTGATAAAATTAGAAAGAGCAAAGGTGGCTGGTATTTTAATTACCGAGAATACAGTAGCAGATGTTTTAGCATTTCAGATGGCTATTGTGAAGTACCTTAGGCCCTACTCGTGCATTTTAAGGTAACCAGAGTTTATCTTCATATGAATTGTAATATATTTACATAAAAGAGGGTTTTTTACCGGTCATTCATGAGCAATTCTACTTCGAAGAATTAGTACAGGCAGCACTAAGTGAATTGTCAACTTTATTGTACAAAAAATTGAATTGCAAAAAAATTTGAAGAAAGACTGTAGAAAAATTCATCCGCCTATGAAAATACTTATGTATAGGAAACTGCATGACAACAGTTATCAATTATGCATTACTTGCACTAGGTGCTCAAGAAATTTTTAAAATATTTGTTTCTGGCCTTAGAATGCAAATTGACTTCGAACTGAATTTTCTGGTTTACAACATCCTATAGAAAAAATCTGGTGAATATAAAAATACTAACAAAACTTATAACTAACCTGAATAACCGAAACTTTTTAAACGTAACCTTAGGAGGATAGGTTTGATGTACCAAAAAAATATCAATTGTTTCCTGCCATTCCGATATATTTGTTACCATTAAAATCTGCTGACGCCACAGCCACGCTCTATACTAGATGATGAAAATAAAACGGTGGAAAAATAAAAATAGGCCTATCATAGAAGGGCCAAGTTAATAATAGAAAATAGTTCAGTGCAAGTGGTATAAAGAGAGGGATTTTTGTAAGATGATTCTGAATCATAATGATTGGATAATCATCAGCGTTATTCATAGCGAAGAATTGACACATGTCAACCAAGTGCTGCTAGTTAGTCATAAAATTGATTTAACCCACTTTGCATCTGAAAAAAGTTAACTGTCTGCATGCCGAGTAGTCTTAGTATCTAGGTAGGTAGATAATTTCAGTATGCCTTCGATAACAAAAAAAAGAAGGACATGAGAAAATTTAACATATTGGAGTATTGGAGTCTATATTGAAAGAATATTTAATAAAATAAGGTAGTGATCTGAGACTTCGTTATTAATAACTAAATTGCAGCGAACCATTTATAGGTGATGGTTCACGATTTAGCCTGCTAGTCTCAGGCGAGAGGCAAGAAGATGATCACACAGAGAAGGGGGTTCACTTATACATGCCACAGTAATAAACAATATAAAACCGGTTAAGTAGGTGCATCTTTCACCTAACGTTCATATTTATTGTACATAGAATTGTGGAAAATATGGTTTTAACAGTGTGTTACCGCAAAGTTTAATTAGCCTCTCGAAAAATTATAGGTTTGATTCATATGCAGGAGAACAGTTGTACAATGCTGTTTTACTCAAGTTATCACTTTACTTTACCAATTATACCTTATAATTGAATCAAAGGTACTCATACATTTCTTTATTGAGGGTGTTTACAAAATAATGTACATACCTACATACATGAATATTATTTAAATATTGATAAATTTATATGAAATATCAAGCAACGAGGTCAAAAAAATATCAGTAATAAGAATGTTACTAAATTGAAAAGAGTTTATTACTGGCAGCTTGGTAACCTAACTATTCGAAATATATTTTTGACAGTACTGAAAATATCTGAACAACGTAGTAAATAATTGAATAACGTAATTCAAAATGTTTCAATCACCTTCAATATCTTCGATTTTTTGACGTTTGTAAAATATGCCTGGAATGAAATATTTCAGACACTAGCAGAACAGAATTCAATAACGCTTTCTAACACTGACAGGAAAATATTAATTCGATTCAGTGATGCAATTACTGAACTAATTGAACTAAATAGGCATCTGAAACTAAGTCGCACTGAGAATCTGTATCGAATAATCGTCCATCATCAGCAGATAATCGAGAATAAGAGAAAAACGAGCTCGCAAACTCGTAACTTCACATTAAGTTTGATCAATAAATCTATTATAATTAATTTTGATTTTGTGTGTAGTTTCTTTCCCACGGCAATATACCTGCATCGAGACAGTATAAGATGCTTCGAAATCGCTTAGCGGAAATGTACAGTCTAGACCACAAATCTCGGTTGCAGCATCTCGAATGAGGAATGTTTTGAATCATGACAAAGACATTTTCTTCAATTGTTAATGCAATCGAACACGCTATCAAAAACGAATCGGAATTTAGCAAGTGAAAAAAAATAACATTTTGAAAGAATTAAATCCTATTCATTTCAAGGTTTCAAAAGAGCGGCCCGCATACCATTCTCAAGCAGTGGCAGGTGGTAAGATCGCTACCAACTGAATGCAGTGACTGCCACCGATATTTATCACAAGCTGCCAGTACCTACTCGACGAAATATTTTCTCACGATTTCAGAGTCCCCGAAATGTTGAATAGTTACGGCTATTGTACAAATTCTGGACTCCACACAACGTAAAAAGGTGACTCTATCATCAGGTATTTGCGTAAAAAACGAAAAACTTACCGGCCATGTAAAAGGAAATGGTAGAGCGATAGGGTTGGAAAATCCGTTTTGCGGGGTGTCCGTTACTGGATTTGGTCCTAGTTCGGGTGTGATCTTATCACCGAAAGTACATTTTGACGTGGTGTCAATCTTTACTTGATATTCCTTCAAACATACTCTGAATCGTGGACGACATATTCCATCGCATTCCGAATTTGGTCTAGATTTTCCAGTACAGCACGTCCCTAAATCATTTTTGCCGGCTTCGTTGTCGAAGGAAATCAGTCTCAATTCAAAAACTCCTGATGGTTCAGCCTATGAAAAAACACCTTGTATTCTCGATGTGTTTTTATTAAAAATGTTGTGTGTTGCGGTTTCGGGGCAGAAATAATTCGGATTCATAGAAATTTAAATTATTAAAAAAAGAGTGCCAGGAGATTCGAATAATATAAATATACTATTTTGAAGAAAGTGAAAAAGAAAGCGCGCCAGTTTAATTTGGAATCGTAAACAATGCTCATTACTAATGGATACTCGGTCGCGATGATTTTAACGATAAATAGTATGAAAGTTTCGAGACACTGACCAAGTTACAAAATATCCCTGCCTCGAACCGTTCACAATAGGGGATCAAAAGTTTGCCTGATGCGTGATTTTGTTTGTTTACTAGTCGCGAATTTGTACCTATCATAACCGTGCTCACCTGATGTAAAGCCAGAAGTGCGACTAATGTCAGGAGTATCCAAGTCATGATGACAGTTGTTCGTTGTTTATACCGTCTTTCAGCAGCCTCCAAGTGCTGTTACCTCAAAGGTAATCTGCAACACCGCGCCATAGGCTATTATCAAATTAAAACACAAACACTATGGGAGAACATGCGTCACCCAAACACTAAAATATCCACATAAACACAGCACATGCAAAGATCTGTTAAAATGTTAGGAGAAAACACTCCATAACAATGCACATCACATCACACGTATATCCAGAGAGTAGAGTGTCCGCTACAAATACCACGGAAAGAGAATGCAGACTGACTGAATCGAGCTTAAGTTCGAAGTTGGACGTCGGCTCAACTCAACCGTGTGGTACGGTAGCGTCTGCTTTCGTGGAGGGGGCGCTCTAAGGGGTACTATGTCGTGCTTCCGCCAGAGTTTGTAAGTTCTGTACACCACAATTCGAAAAACGTGAACTACTTTAGAGCTGCTTAACCGGGCTCTCTACACTCGCGCGCTCGCTACCCTCGAATGGGGAGCCACCCGGCGTGTCCGCTTTAATAAGAGGAACACGATAGGCAAAAGCAGCTGCTCACCGGCTGCCATGGGGTAGTACGACCATCCGTACACCACATACGTCATCGTCCTACCCCATACGCCACCGATTACCTATTTGCCATTCGCAAAACTTATCAGAGTCTGAAGTCGGTGTCTATGTAACACGTAATACTGTGATTTGAATATTTACCTAATGTTTGTTACTAGAAGATTTATTAGTTTCCTAAAGACAGATTTGACATACCTAGTCATAGAATTAAAATTTCATTAAATATTTCGTTGATTATGCCGTAATGAGAAAATTTTAACATTGATTATTTATAGTATTACATAGCAACATACAAAAAACAAAAACATATCACTTTTCTGCTAATTTTGCAAAAATATTAGTTTCAAAATTAATGAGGTACNAAAAAAATATTTTTTGAGATTTCATGCTGAGGTGATAAATACAAAAAAAACGGTTCCGGCTTTTTCATATTGTACATGATCCAATTTTCTGTTAAGTGACAGTGACAGTGACAATAAATAACTACTAAAGCCAACATCAGTTGTTCCTGAAGAGATATTTTTTTAAAATGTAATAAACTCTTCTGAAGATATTTTTGGAATAGGGTATTGATCGACGAAGTTTTGTTTGGAATGGCGTGTACTGTTATTATTTTTAAGATGCCCATCAATTTAGAGTTCACGTTTTATTTGTTTACGGAAACCATACTTTGATATATATTTAACACATGATTATTATATACGATTTACACAAAAATTACAGTTCTGTTCATTTTTTGACTTAATTTTTTCGATATAAACGCCATTTTTCTAGAGTTACAAAATTTTTCAAAGTGAAGGTTATTTATTTGCTTTGAAATAATTGTATAAACCAAATGACTTTCATCAATGGAAATTTGAACAGTTAACTTCATTTTGATAAAAATACTTTTTTATTACTCATTTTCTTCACTAGTGATTTTTTTAATGAAACGCACTGGGACCATTTTCCGCTCGCGCATCGAAGCAAGATAGATCACTTCGACCGTTGCCGAATCGCCTTTGATAATATCTGCCGTAGTAGAAGACGAAACGTCTGCTTTAAAAAAATGCGGACCAAGGCTAATAAACCCGGAAACATCCTTCAATTTGTTAGACACCGGCCGTGAAAGCCTATACACCATGATAATTTAGGTTGTCCATAAAATACTGGCTCTCCTGTTACTTGTTGCATTTCCTACAGGTGAGATTTCTTGTATACAGTACTATTTTGGATACCAAGTGTTTCTACCGAGCATGCTCTCGGAATGACTGTTCATACCCTTCACGGTTTGTAACTATGACAGCGAAGTTTGTGCAAAAAAACATAACGTGTCATATTGATGCTGCTATTGATGTGGTTCTCTCGTTCTCGTTAATCCTAATCAAGCAAGTTTTTGCACCCTAGTTTGTTAATACGGTGGTTTGTTTCATATTTGACCTCCACAACAAAGATGCATATGTTTTTAAGGTTTTAACCACCTATCAGTATACATCATGTATGATTTCAGCTCCACCCATGTTTTTCAGCAGTGGTGTTCGACCAGCATCACTACTATCTCTGCCTGTTTTCTCATCCGGTCTAAATATAGCTTCTAAGTTAGTCTTGGATCTAGTATTTTTCTCAGATATTTAACCTTCCCATACAGTTGCACATACCCTGCACCCAATTTCTCCAGGTATAAGTAATCATTTGATCAATTAGGAAAAAAATTGTCAAAAGTGCGGATAGCTCTCAAGACACATTCGATTAATCATTTGATTTTTTTCAACGCAGTGGTCGAACAAAACGTGTAGACCTTGTATAACCAAGTTTGTTAAACCACCCGGAATAAAATAAAGAAAATGCACCTTCAGCATGTCTACAATTGAGTTCACTATAGTCGGTGCAGTATAGAATTCACAAGTGAATCAATCAGGTGTTTGCCAAATACTATACCGTTCAAAATCGAGTCTCGAATTGCAATTACCGTCCGTTAAAAACGCAATTAGTTTAGGGATGTGAAAGTTCGCGTGCAAGAGTTCAGTGATGTCTTCGGCTGTGGGCCGTGGGCTGGAAACTCTTGTAGACTCTGTTTGATGGTGATAGTACAATGACATATATCGGGTTCATACGCTCACTTGATGAGGTAACTGCGAGTAATATTGGTGTGACTCAGTGGCGGAACTCTCTTAAGGAGAGTCATCTTAAGTGTTATCACGGCGTGGGAATGAAATTTTTAATTTTTCATATGTATATATTGTATGTCAACATTCTCATTAAGGTTATACTTGATGGAATATTGATGTAAATATTATATTTTCTAGGGAAGTCTACAAAACAGACACCTCTGCTTGGTTTTTTCTTCCTAATTCATTTCAATGGTGAAGATGAGAATACAACAATGCGACAATGTCAATATCACTGATAAGTATATTTTTAACTATATATGGTAAAATACAAATTTTAAAATAGCTTATTTATAGCATACATTTGTTCAACCCGTTATTTCAAAATTACAATCTTGAAGTGAACAATTTAGAAAATTTTAATGTTGCAAAATGTATATGTAGAAGTTTCCCCACACGGTTAATGTGTGAAGAAGCTAGAATCTAATCCATTCAACCCAGCTCACTTTCGAGCGGTCTTCAACCTGCTGCTTGGCACTTCAGCTAGATTGAAATCTAACCTCATGCATACAGTGTCTCCGTTTTGCGTGTAATTACACGAAATGCGTGTAAGTTGGAGGCACTGCGTGCCGTTTACATGTAATGAAAATATTCGTGTAATTTCGTATAATTCAACAAACGCTGGAGTAAAGTCATCGTAAAGTGTTGTTTCAAATTCCAAAGTTTTAAATTGACGAATAGATGGTCTGCACAGAAAGAACAAAGTCAAAGATCAAGACCAGATCTAGAACAAAATTTAACTGACCAGTTGGACGTATTCTGTCAGTTTTTTCATTTTCTGCCTTTGTGATACAAATAACAAATTGCAGATGACCTTCAGGTAATTTAAATTCAAAATAAATTTATGATTGTTTTTGATTGATTATTAGTTTTATTGATTTTTTATGTTTCGAGTTCACATATTCACACGTTATTTGATATTTATAATTTTCACTATTTGCTGGAATCTATTTCATCAACATGAATCGATAAATAATAGTTCGAAAAACTAAAAAAAAGCACGCTTCAGTAGCAACACACTCTTAAAAATAATTCGAAACTAATTCAAATTTGTGTTCAACATCGAAAATAAATCCTATGGCTTGATGTAACTTTTTTACAACAAAATTAATATTTTTGTGTATAGATTTATTCTGATTTCAGACTTATTAAAAGTCATTAGTTACATCAAGCCATAGGAATTATCAACGATGTTGAACACTATCTTAAATTAGTTTCGAATTATTTTTTATCTTTCAGTGTGTGTTGCTATTGAAGCGTGTTTTTTTAGTTTTTTGAATTACTATGTGTGGTTGTCTCATTGCTCTCACACAGAGACTTCGTGAGGAAATTATTTAATCTTGGCGATCCTAATCAGGATAATGAGATGAACTTATGAAATTATTGTATTGTCACCAATTCTTGATAAGTGCACCAAGTTTGAAATACATCTGTCCATTAAAAGTTAGTCAAAATCGAGTCCAAACGAGTCGGTTACAAACAAACATACAAGTGAAGCTGATAGAAGCGTGTTAAAAATGGATGGTTAGAGTTACTTGAATAATATTTGACATAGGACTTTGGGATTTCAATTTCTAGGAAAATGAAGAGACCTTCCAAATAAAAGAACCTCAAAAGCATATATCTCTAAATGTACGGTGCAACGTGATTCAGAGTCTGAAAACGAACTGGCTGTAGAGTCTTAGTCACCTCCCGATGATGCTAACTTGGTTAGCTAAGTACGTGTCGAGAGACAGTATTTTTGTTCTGGTGAGGGCAAAGTAAAAAAAAAATAATACGTTTATTGTATGGTTTTCACTATAAAGGGCTTTACAAAAACCGCGACACGTGTTTCGCTATATAATAGTGCTATTGCTATTGTATAGCGAAACACGTGTCGCGGTTTTTGTAAAACCCTTTGAAGTGAAAATCATACAATGAACTGTATTGATTAGTTTTAATATGGATTTTCATCAAGTATCGGCCAGTTCAATTCAATTATTGAGGGGAAAGTGTTTTAAATTGATTTATTTCACGCCTTAGTTTCCAGATTCTACCAATCATTTTATATTGTTAGATAACAACAGATACTAACAACAATCATATGGCGTGTCCTTAAAGATTATTTGATCTGAAACACAGAACTCGGAATTATATTTTATGGCTTTCACGGCCAGAGTTAGATTAGAGAAAACGAAATCTGGATTGTTAGACCGTGATCGAATGGAAACTGTAGTAGGTACCAAACGTTTCGACTGAGACTTCGAGATATAATTTTTGTCTTGGCAGTCAACGCACATACCACTGATAATGTCTTTCGAAGTAGATGACGAAACGTTTGGTACTACATGTGTCATTCGACCACGGCATATCAGCCGGGACTTTGTTTTCTCTAATTATATTTCATTAGTTGTGTGGTCTGTTCCTGTTCCTGTTCAAAAAGGAACATAGACGAATTTTAAAGCAGAGGATCTAGACCAGGGTTGCCACTTATATTACTTTCGTAACAAATATTTATTATTGGGCATTTTTATTACGTTGTTACGCTGAAGCACACTCTATCACGTTTTTATAATTTGATTATTTTTGAGTTCTTGTATTTTTCAAATACATTTTGGCAGTTCATGTCAAATTTCCATTGACTTGTTCATCAATTATAGGCCAAAGATCATTCAAGTATAAAACATAAGCATAAGTTTAGGTATATAAGCTTCTGAAAATGTTACCCTGATGTATTCAGCATGCGCACAAGCAAAATTATGAATTGTCTGAATTCAGCTACATTTTAGTATGAAATTGAAATATCTACTGGCAAGCCTGACTCAAGTCGCTTCTTTGGGTAAATATTCGTTTTGAGGGCAGCCGACGATTTTGAAAAAATTTTTGAGTGTACTTACGTATTTTGATGCGTAGATTACGAATCCGAAAGAAAAAAGCGGCACTCTCCCATGTTTACAAAGTTACGGCCCTTCAGAAAAAGGCAACTTTTCAGCATTCTTTTTCACAAGATAAACTATTTTGCGTGTAGAGGGAGGTGTATTTTCACGCTCTCGCGTGTAATTGGGTGTAATTTTATGTGTAATTTTGTAATATACAGTTAGTCAGCATCTGGTGCTTCGACTCCTCGTTATATGTTGTTCGGTTTTCTGACTTTACTGTGACCAAATTCACGACGTAACTATTTAGATGTACAATAGAACTTCAATAACAATAAAGGGGCAAACCATAGACAAGTGTTTCGGATTGTTGACCCATCATCAGTATGGTGCAGCCAAGTGCAAGGATGGGCAACACTTGGTCCCCAAAAGAAATACAAATGCACGGAGCCATCAGAAGAAACCAGCCGCACATTCGTACGCACAAAATGTATTAAATGAAACCACAAAAGTGCGTCTGGCTTATCCTGATGGCTCCGTGCATTTGTATTTCTTTTGGTAACAAAGTGTTGCTTATCCTTGCACTTGGCTGCACCATACTGATGATGGTATAAACGCCTGAAACACATGTCTATGGTTTGCCCCTTTCTTGAGTTCTATGTCCAATGATTAACTTCTATATTTCACCAAACAAGTTTGTGAAACGTTGGCGTTCAGGAGAAATAATCTACTTCAATTTCTTTAAGAAAAATCTCGATTCATGCAACTTCATGATCTTGAAAACACTTACCTATATTCAACAAACTATTCCGAATCGAAATTCAATCTGCAACACTTTTGCACTCTAAAATTGTGAAACAAATACTGTTTGTGACATATGTACACAACCACTAAACACTCTTAACAACAATTATCCAAATAAATTAATAAATAGACTTCTGGTAACACCTATACACTTCAGAGCCCGACGCACTACTGACAAATCATACAAAAGATATAAATTCGTTAAAAGTGATTCAGTCAGATTTGTCATTATTACATAAGGGTTTTTGCGAATAGGCGGTGGAAAATATTTGTTGAACGCATGCTTCTTTCATTCCAGACAGATATGTAAAGTATATCTCTAATCTGAATAAAATCGCTGATATTTCTCCTAGGATTATGGTGTCGGTAGACCCAAAAATATTTTTTTTGAGGGTGGCTTCGTATTCTATTCTACCAATAAAAATGTTTCTTATTCGTCAAATGCCAAAATTAAATGTTTCAACATAAAGAAACCAAAACAACAACACATTTTTCAGTGAACTTCCGACAATTTTCATTCAAAAATCTCTGTTCGACCCAAACCGATACATTTCGTTTTTGAATATAAATGAGATGGAAAAATTGTTCGCGGAGTCCTGGAAGCCTCAAACTTCAATTCCAAGTATATAGCCCAAATCTGAAAATTAAAAATTGTAATTTTGGGATATCTCAAAGTGTAATTTGGGGAGATCTTGAAGAAATGAGTAATTAGATAATTTATGAAATATCACATAATTATGATTGAGACATAAATATAGTTTATACAGTTATCCTTCTGCATAAATTAATACAAAACGTTTGCTAAACATTCGTTCATCTTTGATTCATTAATTCATTATTGCTGATATTGATGTATGTACCGGTATCACAAAGAGAGTATGGATGCTGTGGGTGGAGAAGTAATATATGTCCCATATTATAAAAAATCCTCCTCGAAAAAAAGTGACAGGTCTATTAATATTTTTTTCAGTTTTCTGAGAACTTGTTACTGAATAATAAAACTAATACAGTTTACTGTAAAAACCGCGACACGTATTTGGTTATGGTTATTCCCGCTTTCTCAAGCGGGAATGAGCATTCATGTTTGTCAAGAATATACAATAGTTCAAAATCTTAGGTCCATTTACCGCACTCTTATATTTCTGATCAAAGCAGGTGTTTTCACTAATCCGTTATCGAAAATATTCACTTGCAATCCCAATAGTTGATTGAATTATTTCCGGAAATATTTTCGACGTCCCGAATATTTTGAAAATTGATAATAATTCACTTCCAAATTGATAATTACAATTTCCAAGAATTATTCAAACACATGTGATATTCAGTAAGAAAATGTTATGCCATATTAAACTTTTACGGATTATTTGAAAATGTATGTTCTAATTTTTCAAAATATATCGAGATAGGCTATGAATCACATTATAGATTTGACAATTTGATTGAGATTGCAGTGTTTTGTGACAGTAACTTTAGTTCTTTGTGTGACCGTGAACAAACTGACTCGGTTCGGTGATTGGTGATATTCACTTTACTAGCTGTAATTGAAGAGAAATTATATTTCAAATTACTTAACTTAATAAATGTATCCTTTGCAGTTTTTTTGGCTTCGTAGTCATTTGGCAAGGTCAGTTCTATTTGTCACCGGTATTCATCATTATAATACAAAAAAACACTTATATACGACAGGTTCATTGTTCTAAAATTCGTCTTGGTCAAATCAACTTCATTCATATGACGTCAAACGGAATTTGAATTATGTCAGAATTGTTGATTATTGAATTGAAAGAGGTATATTTTTAGGAGAGATACATTTTTGGAAAAGAAAGGTTTGCACTTTCCACTTCATCATCTTTAGAAAAAAAGTGAAAATCAATATAAAGTGTTATTCAAAATCAATTTGGTTTTAAGCTGCTACTTTTTATATAATTTCTTAAATACAGATAGTCACGAACAGACCATTTCCAATGAGCTCCTTGTTCAATTGTCATCAGAGATTATTCAAGATTTGGTCTGGTATATGTTGATCATTTTCATCTTATTCCATTTCACTCGTTAGTTGTTATAGGATTTAAAAATCTTCATATCCTGTCAGTTTATTCCTCATTTTCGCATAATCCAACATTGATTTTCATTGAACAACACTACCCACTATCTACACTGTAGAACAGTTCGAGATACTTTTATTGAACCAGCTCAACATTAATAATTAACAGTTCTGGTTCTATACATCTTACCTGAAAAATGTGCCAGTGAACTTCTCCAGTGTTTTGAAAGCTCTTCAAACTGTTTTACAATACAGGGTTTTTTACCGTCTTGTTGGAAGATCGCTCGAGTTCACCCAATAACCAAAAAGGCAAGTAAAATCTTCCCAATACTATATATAAATCAGTGATATCAAAAATCATGGAAAGAGTTGTAAACTTATTCCTGTATATTTGAATTACATTAACATTTTGATAGATCATGAGCGTGGTTTACAGTAGCTCAATGGAGACTTCTTTTCATCTGCCTTTTGAATAATACAATCGAAATATTTTCACTTCTATTGAAACATAATTCAAGTGATTCAGCGCATTTTCCTAAGTTGTTGATTATGAATGAAATTGTCAAGCCTCTCTGAATGAATAATTCACATGTCCATTGGTTTTTTGTCATTTATATCACCAATTCCTGTGATATGGTCAAAATGTATATATTAGTGCTCGAAAAATAATTGCAATTGGTCATTAATAATTGCACTTCTTACCTTGACAATCTTGACAGTCATATTCAGCAAACCCTATTTTGTTCTGAGTAGAAATGTATTGATGAAAAAGCAATTTGTCAAAATATGGAAATGAAATGTCATTTCGTTGAAGTACATGCATTTGCTTCAATTTAAAAATATTTGTATACTGCGAATTAATGAGATCTTCGAATGGACTGTATTTATTTGCAACAAATAGTCTATGTCAAAAAAACTAGTTTGATTTGAATTAAATGAAAAATTTACCTGTCCTCTAATTCCAAATACTTTCTGTTTGAGAAGTTTAAATAAGTACTTTATAATTTTATCTATGTGACACTCATATTTCAATACATATTGACAAATATTTCCGTTATTTTCAACAGATCTTGATGATTTTTTTTGTTATATTCAGTCAAAAAAAACCGTCCATCTAGTTATCATAAGGGGGTGTGTGTCATTAAAATGTTTAAATGAAAAATGAGAAATAAAACTTCCCATGCTTTTTTACCACTTTTATTCGTAACTAATGTTACTGTTTTATATCTAATTTTTCATGATGCTATCCTACCACGTAGTAACGACTACATTCATCAATTTATAAAAATGTTTAAAATTGGGTTGAAGGGTGGAGAGGTGGGTGTTGGCAATTCCATGCCCGAAATTGAATCAGGAAACACCATATTGTTTCTATTAACTGGTCTATTGACACTTTTAGCATGTGGGTTTTATTGTCAGTAAATATATTCAGATGAGTATTGTTCCCTTACAAATTATTAGAGTCATATTCAGAACATTGAATTTAACCAACTTTAATCGAATCTCATAAAAAATAATATACTAACACCTTTCTATATCACACACTGTTATTCACACACAGGTACCCGTGCGAAAATAAAATTCCGTGTGTTTAGGTTCGTTCTTCTAATATTTGCCTATCCCACCGAGTGGAAGGCATATATGACCTACTATTAGGGGTCGTTTCCGGTATCGTCCACGAAGGGCGGAAATCCCAACACTTCCGGAAGTACTTGCCAATTCCAGAAAATGTCTTCGAATATCTCAGTGACGCCTGCAATTTGGGGTACTATTAAATTTTGTAAATATGATACCACCTTACCGAAATGCAATTTATTCCTTCAAATCCGTTTTTTATCGCTTTTGCTCTTTTTGTCTTTCCTTTTCAATTTATTGCATCTCTGTAGAGGTGGATGCGCCAGACAATACATTATGAATAGTTTTCAGACAATTGGATGTTCTCTTTTCACCCTTTTTTGGGGTGGATGTGTATTGTATGTCGATGAAAAGATTACTCGTGCTTCCTGTTTCTTTCCGTTATTGAGGCGGGATTTCTGGGTGAGTAATCATTTTTGAGTATGGTGAATAATATTTTTTTGAAATATTGAATCATAATAACTAGTTATTCATTCATCATTTCAATTACCGTATCCTCTAAGATATTTTGAATTTTGTGTTTACTGATCCACGGTAAGTTATTTTGAAATAAAGGAAACGAAATCAAATAATCCTGAACTTTATACAGTAGGTACTTGCCATATGAATTTGAACTTATTCCAGTTTTGGTGTTGAAGAATAACTCAAACCGCAGTTTGGCATCACAGATCTACTAACTGGGAAGATATTCAAGATTTTTAAACAACGAGCAATAAAATGGACGTTTTACAAATCACAAGCTTTTATTTAACTTTCAATGTTTGTATGTTTGATCAGATCAAATCTTGTAAATTAATTTCAGAAACAGACTGAGCTGAAATTTTGCAAGAAAGCGATTAGGATGACGATGCACGGTGAGCAAAGTGACGTCATCTACATCCGATATGGCGGAACGCCCAAGATGGAGGGTTAGTTATCTTTCGGCACATCCAGTATATGGATAACGAGTGGGAGGGTTCAAGGGGAAAATACAAAATGGCGGAAAACAAGTTGACCGCCATTACAATTTCGAAGAATGAAAACATGGCAAGTTATGAATAGTTTGATGAGGCTCTAACCAATGTTGTTAGAACTGGCCATACAACAATGACGTTTTAAATGAAATCAACAAACCAAGGAATATGTCCAGCGATATAAAGAATTTAGAAACAAATCAAAAACAAAAAAAACATTTTTAAAAATTAGCTTTTATTTAAGAAAAAAATGAAAATAACTTTTAATTCAATCAAACTGGGCAGTTCATTACACAATTCATATAATATCGTGAGATTTACCTGTGTAGATAAACAAGAATACTATCTTGACATACGGAACTCTAGTAAAAAATTATACAAGTTGGTTTTTTCAAGTGGACCACTATCTCTAGAAAACTTCAGCAAGCAGGTCGGTTTAATTACAAA